TACTAAAATGGAACTCCACGATAAAATCTTCAACTCATTTTCGTACACGAAACCCTTCACTTAATGAAATACGAATAATATACCATTAAATTGTCCCACTTTTCGAAAAAAATATTCCTTTGTTTTAATTCCTGCTTTGAACGTCGCGCCTAGGGAGATGTTTTTCCGTCTTTTAACCGGTCAGTTACTCACAGTGGCATCCGCTAGGTGGAAGCACCGTATAAACGTTCTTATGANATATATATATATATATATTTGTTGTTTATTTAACGACCTTGTCAAAGGCCCAAATTGTAACCATCCAACAGAACAATAATAAACAGGTAGTGAATCGATGGAAGCGATCATGGAATAATTTCAGATCCTGTTCCAGCATTATCCTGGAGGGCTTGAGAAAACTATGAAAATTGTTAATCAGAATTGTCCGTTTCCTGGAGGTGATTTGAACCGGGCACCTTCCACATACAAGCCATAAGTATGTTGTCTATCTGGCTCAGTATCAGTTTTACAATTTGCTGTACTTCTAAATCATTTTTCATCATGGTGTAATACATACTGAAGAAATCTAATGGAATACCTTGTAAACTTTATTATGAGCGGTCACAAATATTTTCATGTGAGATTACATAAGTGCTGACCATTTTATTATATTCCTATATGAAAGAGATAACTGGGGAAATGCAGTTTTGTACTGTTAAAACTGAAGTATACATACTGGCTCAAAAGTAACATATTTGAAGGTGCTACTCTTCCAAGTTCTAATTAAAAATAATAAAAAATTAATATATTTTTATGCTTGAGATTATATTATGTTTGTGCTTCACTAAATAATTTTATGGGAAGTATAATTGTTATATACCTGATTATAAAAGAAATGGATGCATTTCTGATATGCAATTTGTTCTCCCCAAGACTGATATATACAGTAATTTATTCTGAGAACTGGTGATTTTATGGCCCTGATCTGATCCCTCCAAAACGAATGTTGTAGCACCATATATTAGAAGAACTGTTAAGCTATTTCAGTGACATAACCTAAAAGCTAACAGATTTGTACCATCCATTTCACATTTCCAGATTGTAATTCTCAACGCAAGGCTTGAGGTTCTCATAATAGTGGCTGTGAAGGTTACTGTCTTCTCAGATGCAATTTTATATAGTCCAACAGATTATTTCTAGCTCAACAGAGGGACAAATTACCTCCACCACCAGGGTTGTAATTATCAGGGTTAGCAACCTGAGACCGTGCTTAATGTCTAGTACCATTCACCTCACTAGCCAATAAAATGGAGTGCAGTAGAATGTTCCTGCTGCCATGTATGTATCTTAGTGAAATGTTATTTCATTTCCCAATCCACTACTGCACCACCACATCATCAGTCGCATAGGTGTGACTAGCAGGGCACTTAAACTAGTGTCCTTGTTTCAGCCCCACTGCTATAACAATCTGCTTCCTTCAGTTTCCATAATACTGAATACAGGTTTGAGAGCTTCTCTCGGTTTCTCCAAGCGACTCGTCAATGTGTCATCTTATGTCTTGTCTTTAGGTAAAATTTAATTTTACGAGATTCTTGGTGATGTTTTATGATATGTAATGGAGACTTTGAAAGTAAATAAGAAAGAAACAAATGAACGTTTGGAGGTCTCATTACGGATGCTTTGTTTAAGCATGACATATATATTGTGTTTTACGCCCGGATCTATGCAATACGCAACAAATAAAGCAGATATCTGCTAGATGGCATGGCGATAGCAGGAGGTTGGCTAACATTTTCAATGGCGCAATCTCATGAAGTATAATTGTTATTGTAATTTTGTCAGACTCTGTTTTTTATGCAAAAATTGCATAAGGCCATAATGTATTGTGGCGTATTTACTCTGTGCAGGAATCGTTGAGGCACAGAAATCTATAAACACTGCTATTACGCAACAATAAGTAAAGCGATGTTTTCTTCATACCGTGCCGCACCACTCTGGTTGCTACGCAGCGCTGCAGTAAACATCTCTCGGCAGCGTTGCCTAGCAACTTCTCTATAAATACGGCGATTACGCAACAGTGAAGCGGAGACCACCCGTCCTCTCGTCAGAGAGGGCGCCCCACAAAAATAAGACCGTAACTGTCAAACAGTAATAATTAATATCTGGTCATGAGCCCCAGATGGGGCTCGACACCAAGACTTACTGACTGACTGACCGTCAGTCGCAATGTAACTTTGACTTTGACAGTGAAGCGAGGTGCGCGCAGTCAGTTACGAGAGAAGCACGCGAACGGAGTACAGTAAAATACAGGAGGTCGGCCTGTGAGGATCAAAAGTGTGAATTAGAAGACTTTGTGTTATAGTGCAGCGAGAATTTGGAGTGCGTAATCCAGTGAGACTTGTGTAATAAATACGTGGACACTACTGCAGCTGGAAGCCAGTGAGTTCAACTGAGGAGGTGTGTACTCTCACGTGGTGGTATCGGAAGTCCTTTCTGGTGAAACAGAATATAACTTCTATTTAGTTTCAAGGCTAGAATAATAAGAAAAATGAATGTAATACTTGAAATATCAATCATGATGATATACACGTACTTCGCATTTTTCGTGCAGCTGGAAGCCAGTGAGTTCAACTGAGGAGGTGTGTACTCTCACGTGGTGGTATCGGAAGTCCTTTCTGGTGAAACAGAATATAACTTCTATTTAGTTTCAAGGCTAGAATAATAAGAAAAATGAATGTAATACTTGAAATATCAATCATGATCATATACACGTACTTCGCATTTTTTGTGGCAGTCAGCAACACAGGATTATCCCTCACAATCCCAGCATCCGAACCGATCCGAGCTTTCGCACTAATTCCAGCCTACGAAAAAATTCCAGTAGGAACTCCCCACCACAACAAATCAATGGAAACGTCGTCCTATGCATTTCAGCCGTGCAACTTACCAGCACAAGACCAGAATTTCTGGATGAGACTTGACACCCTGGTTCCCATCTTCATCATTCTCCTCGTTTCTTTGATACAGTATCTCCATTCTCGACGGGTCTCGTACAGGAAGGAGAAGACAAAACAGGAGCCCAGGACGGCGTTACAGACATGTGAAAGTTTAGAGTTGAGATCTAAGAGAGCGTTTATGCAAAAGTTGGCAGAACGTCATGCCCAGTCCCAGAATAAGAAGGATTCACTGATGACGATGACGAAAGTTGAAGACGAACCGGTTCAGTTACTGAATGAGGTGGAGTCAATGACGACAGTTACGAAGGCGGAAGACGAATGCTGTGTTCAAGTCTCGAAGGTAGAGGAAGAGCAACGTATCCAATTCCAGAATATTGTAGATGCAATGCCGGTAATAATGGAGGTGGCAGACGAACAGCCTTTTCGCTCTCAGAATAATGTTGATTCAGTGAAGAGTACGACGAAGAGATTGCCTTTGATGCTTACGGAAAAGGCAGCATGCTATCCAGCAACCACTGAGTCCCCTGTCAAGATGGGGACACCCAAGAAAAACTGCATTGTACCTTCCAAGGCTACAGCCGAAAAGAAAGTCCCAATGAACAAGGTGCGGTTGGCTTTGGCACCACCCACTCCCCCCAATCTCAAGTCAGTGAGAGCTAAAGTCAATTCTCAGAGAAACACTTATCACAGGCCTAGTGAGAGTCGTGTGAAGATATATCACCAGAAGCTTGACTATAGCAAGATACAGGTCAAGGTCAACACCTGGAAGACGACATAGATACACGATAGTGACAGTGAAGAACGGAAGCGAGTTACGACTGCCTGGCGGGGAGGTGACCAACTGAGGCTCTATTATTCAGCCCCAGACTGAAAGAGAGTCATCAAACCTTCAGGTGTCGTGAAAGGGCTCATACAGGTTAGTCGCATGGACAAGCGATGTGGTATACAGGATCAAGTGGAACCCCCGCTCGAAGATGATGGTGGTACGTCTGGACTGCCTCGCACCTATTCAGGGAGCCATTGTAGGGGTGCTGCAGTACCATGATATTTGGAATAATTCAGAGATACTATCAAAAGTTCTTGTGTTAAAACCCATTGTCAGGAAACGGACAGCGTGTCTTTGTATCTTTATAGACTAATAGACTTAGGAGACTAATATGTGTAACAGCGAACTGTAAAGAGTAGACATTAGCGGTAATACTGTAATTACGTGTTGTGTATAAGTGGAATAAATCAAAAAAATTTACAGTATATTTTCTGGACCCTTATAACTTATTGCAGAGATTTTCTCTTAAGTTAGCCCCACGTATATTTAGGCCTATAAGTGCACTTTATAAAGCGTTAAATAGAAAAACACGAACCATGACACATATGAGTGCTGTCTACCAGAGGGCTAATAAACTACATGTACATAAAACGTTATGCATGCCCAGAATAGATTAGCCTTCGGTATAAAAGTGATTACATTCTACCTGCCTTCTACTGCACATATAAAGTTGTCCCTGTGCCTAACTAATTAAGCACTACACCATGAAGACGTATGGGGGAATGGATATATAGATCCATGTTTTCTTTAACTCGGCGCTAGTTGGAGGTGAGTGGTCAGTTTCACGTCCCGACCGCTTTATCAGTGGGGAACGAGCCTCCCGTACCCATTGGATAGGGGGATGCATGGGCCCTAGAGCCGGGCTGGACGACGTGAAGAGTAAATTCTTGACCCTATCAGGACTCGAATTCCTATCCCTATGTCGTCTATCCCGTAGCCAATCGCTAAACCAACAACGTTATATATATGTAAATTCGTGGTATGTACTTCCGTCACTAAATGGCTTGCCATCTCGTGCCTCAAATGAAAATAAGCTCCTCACGACGCTGGAGACATATTATATTCAGCCATTGAACTTTCTTAAATGACCCATGCTGATGAGTATTTAAGAATCCATGACGGGAAAGCGTTTTCTACTCCGCTTAATCTATGGCACAAGAATTGGTAGTCTGTGAGCACGAAGAGGACAAAACCAATAAATCGAAATAATTTGTAATGTTGTCACACTGTGAGACCATTTATTTTCTGACAGATCTGTCCAGATGGCGTGCATGTAGCGTTTTTGTTGTCAGGTAACTTGTGAACAGAATTAAGTTATAGGTTGATGTCGGTTTGTTGGTGTATTTGCGAGAGAAATGAATTTGGTGTAGTGTTTATTATAGTTTAGAGAATTTCCTTGTGTTCTCTTTTGTAGCAGTTTGATGTGGGCAGAATGTTTGCACTCAGCGTTTCGAATGTGAGTGGTAAATCTGCGGTATGCGTGTGAACCAAGATGTACATGCTGAAGCACGTCACCTTCAGACAACAACCGGGCCCCCCAGACTACGAATCTCAAATATGAGCCATGGGTTTACGCCAGTATAGCATTGACAGTAAAGATAATCGTATCGCATAGCCATTGACAAAATACCAGGACAAAGTTTCGTGAAGAGTTAAATCATTTGAGTGACACAAGAATAAAGAAGATTACTGATTAAACGATCATAGACACAGCCAGCATAAGCATCTCTCTGTTAACTGGAATAGCTTTCTAAGCATTCCGATGGTTTTTATTTTCTTGGTAGAGGTAAGGTACACTGGCAGTATTGTTTGTTGACCAGATTCATAGTACACAGGTTCCAGATGGGATGAATTTATTGTGTGAACATTTGTTACAGCCATGACAATGGAGAGGAGGATCAAACTGAAGACACTTAATAGTCACATTACGTGCAAAATCTGTCGAGGCTACCTGATAGATGCTACTACAGTTACAGAGTGCCTCCACACATGTAAGTATCCTTTGGAACTTGTCTCTTTGATTATTTTGCACCTTTGATGCCAGACTGGGTAAGAGCTGTGTGCAGACACTTTCTGAGATATCCCTATAGATTTTTCTGTAGATTGTTATTTGTGTTCTGGCTCCATGGATCATAAAGAAACAGAGTAGGGTATGGATTGGATTTATCTGCCTCAGGATATGGTCCGGTTGTGGGCCATTATGAACTCAATAATGAACCATTGAGTTTCCTAAAAGTCAGGAAGTTTCTTGAGTAGTGGAGGAACTATTCCTCAAAAAAAAGACTCTGCTGTTTGGAGTTAATGGGGTACAGTGATTTATTCCTTGTAATATCTTTCATAAGTATATTTGTACAGTATTATATTTAAGCATCCTGTTGCACTCTATACGATATATGATATAAACTCCGTCCTAAGTGCAACAATTTATTGTAGGTCTTTCGTCTTGCTTTCTTCTACACTACATGTTTCGGCCGCAAACAGCCATCATCAGGTGTATACACTCACGTAGCTGTTACACTGCATTGGAACTGAAGATTTTAAAAGTGCCAGTTCATGAAAGTCAAAATTGACGTGTGTAGGTAAGAAATATAATGTATGACTCAGACAAATATCAGCGAAATAGATTCTGTTAGCAACGACGAAGGGAACAATTGGGAAGACCTGTGTTTTTAAATTTTAAACTAAATGCAGTGTAACAGCTACGTGAGTGTATACACCTGATGATGGCTGTTTGCGGCCGAAACACGTAGTGTAGAAGAAAGCAAGACAAAAGACCTACAATAAATTATTGCACTTAGGACCGAGTTTATATCATATATTTGTACAGATTTATTTTGTTTGTTTGTTTGTTTAGGATTTTCATTAGGATAAGTTATTAAGGCCTGTTTGTATGAATTGCAGGATGGCATTGGTCTGTCCATCATCATTCTGGTTATCCTAAGTGTTGTCCCTCTGTGAATAATGGAATATTAGTTGTGGATAGCACTATCACTCCATTCTTTTGAAGTTCTCTTAATGTACTTGGTATCATTGTACCTCTGCAGTTGTATTTGTGAATACAATCCTCATGCTATGGGAATGAACGTGCATCATGTTCAGTATAGTAATGTAGACTATTAGCAGCATTAGAAAGTTTATGGATTCTATTTTCAGCATACATCCTGTATTCATATGTATGTGGAAAATTCAAGTATACTAAACAACTTTTCTGTCATGAAGTTCCCTACACAGGGTGTGAAGTACCTCGTTTCCTAAATATATGGTCTTTGGTGGTCTTTCTCCATTGTTGGAATTTCTTCAGTGGATTAATTACACAGTCTCCTAATTTCTGGGGCTACTTATGGTTTAAAGTCTGTGCATGAATTAAACATAAATTCTGTGATAATATTGGCAATGGATGGAAACATGGTTATTATATCTTGAAATTGATTAATGAAAGCTGACTCATGCATGCTTCTGTTTATTTTGTGTTACAGTCTGTAAGAGCTGTCTCGTGAAACACCTCGAGGAGAACAACACATGTCCGACCTGTCAGATCGTGATCCATCAATCACATCCACTCCAGTATATCAGCTTCGATCGCACAATGCAGGATATCGTGTACAAACTCGTACCGAATCTGCAAGACAGTAAGCTACCATACTAATTAATTATCAATTTAAAAAGTCTGGTTTAGAAAGACTGTAAAATCCATGTGGCCCAGTCTGAATTAGAAGACCTTCTTAGGTACACAGCTTCAGAATTTGATTTCTTGTATGTTGGATCTGAGAGTCTTGTGGCAGTGACTATGAACGGTGCTGCCCTCTTCTAGGGTGTGACACAAACAGAACTCTGCTTGCTGCACACTTCATGCTCGTGTCTTGCTTGGTTTAGGGCGGCAGCACACCAACTGCGTCAAGACAAGCATCAACACATGAGACAAAAGACGCAGTCTTGCTTCATTTGTGTTTGGTCATCATCATGACTTAGACCGGTGTGCAGCAGTATTCATAATCTCATTTGTTTTATCTGTGCTCCTTTCTTTGTCGTGTCACAGACATCGTGTCTTGACTGTTACATGTCTTGACCATGCCTGTGTGCGGCCTACCTCAGTCTTCAACCCTGAAGTTGGAGATACGTTTCTCCAAAACAGTGGTTCTCTTTCACTAGACTGCATGGCATTATATCCCAGAAGATGGAACCCTTCAGAGTCATCACTGTGAGAACCTCAGATCCAGCAAATTGGTTATGAGATTTGATAAATTGGTTGAAAGATAAAAAAATGGCATCAGTAAGAATATCTGTGACAGACTGTATAACCTGGCTGCATCTTCACCTAAATAAATTTGATGCTGAAGATTGTGGTAACAGGTTCCTCCAAAATACTGATATTCACCAACTGAGGGTACACGATATTGTCACACGATAGAGTCACTATAGATGGGGTTTGTTGGTAACTTGATTTACTGACCACTTATGCATCTCTTTACTGCGTTACATAAATTGCTATCACAAACAGAGTAGTGTTCTCAGTATGTTACAGTCTCCAATAGTCATTTCCTTGTAATGGCTCCTTCAGCTTCTGTGCTAACTGCGCTGATTAAGTATTCTCGTCACAGACTCCCTTAGCGTTCTCTTGTACTTAAACTAACTCCAAGGCTGGTGGCCAGTTCACATGAAACTCGTAGTCTTCTCTTTGCAGGCTGACTTTTAACTGACTACAGCTCAGCTGATGTCCTCGTTATATAACCCTTTGGCACAGACCGTGTAGAAAACACTGTTTCCAACAGTTCCTGTATTGTTGCATGGGTATCCATTGCTGCAGGAACATGTTTACTGACCCATTCCCTAGCAGAGTCAGTCTATTCTTGCTTATTAAAATCTGTTCCTAATAGCAAATGTTGTTTTGTTGTTTGTTTTGAAGTTGTTGCCTAGAAACAACCCTATATGTCACAGTATCTTTGTGGCCAAGTGGGATCATGCAGCAGTAACATTTTAGGCTCACATTCAGGAAATCACTCCTGGGGTAGTGGCTGCCCAGACTAAGGGTTGCTTGGTTTACCTCAGTTCATACAGGCAATTTTCAGGATAGCACCTCAAGTAGTCCGTGACCACTTCCTTCCAAATGCTTTCCAAGTCAGCATTAATCAGTAATTCTGCCATTCAGTGCTGTATATTCTAGATACTGACAGTATCATAGAAATACAATTAAGTAAATAAATAAATATACAGTGTAGCTTCCTCTGTCTTTTTTAAGCCATTCGGTAATCTTTTCTGGAAATTTCCTGATTTATCATCATCCCTGATGAAGGCTTATAAACGCAGTTTTTTTTTTCAAGTGACCCCACTTGCATCAAGCCCTGCAACTAATTTTCAAAACCTCCAATAAAAATGGTTATAACTGTGAAGAAAATTATAATAAACACAGGGGATGCTTGAGCTGCTTTGTTTTCATCTAAACTGGAGAATACAGAAAGGGAGAAATGTATCCCAGGATGAGGTCTCTTCACTGTTTGCAGATGAGATCAAACGTGAGAGAGAATTCTATCGTATGAGGGGTTTGCCCTGTCCTAAAGACATTCCACCCAATGCCGGAGAAGTAGAAGAAGATAAGGGAGCCCCCGATCAACATGCAGAGTCTGACTATCACCGTCAGGATGAGCAGGTGAGTTGAGAAATCCGTTGGTTATCATGAATTGAATTGTGAGGAGTACAGGGGAAGCATATGTGACACAGCTGGGATTCAAACCATGTGTCTCTCAAGCATAAGTCAGGTGAAATGTTTCATTAACTATAAATTATGCAACTATATGGCTTTATTTGTATGAATGTGAAATGTGTCCATGACTGAAAACATGACGTTATACTGAACATGTGCGAGAGGAGAACTTCTAGGAAGAACTCAGGAGAATCAGAACTAACCAAGAAAAGAGGGAATTATATAAAATCCATCATATGGTAAAGGATATTAAAAGGGGAAGGGTGGATTGGTTGGAGCACATATACTGAGGGTGTTTGAGAGCAGGGTGCTGTGGAGACTATTTGGACCGAAGAGAGATGAAGTGGCAGGAGGCTGGAGAAAACTGCATAATGAGGAGCTTCATAACTTGTACTCTTCTCCAAGTATAATTAGAATGATCAAGTCAAGCAGAATGAGATTGCAGGGCATGTAGCATGAAAGGGCAAAAGGCAGGATACCCATAGGATATTGGTGGGAAAGAGTCCATTAGGAAGACCAAGATATAGGTGGGTGGATAATATAGAAAATGTATTAGGATGGGATTGTATGGACTGGATTGATCTCGCTCAGGATAGGGACCAGCTATGGCACGGCCCAGTATAATAAGTAAGCCAGAAGGTAGAAGGAAAGTGAGAAAGTTCAGATTAAGGTGGCTGTAAAATATAAATTAAGCCGGGACTGTGATCTTCCCATCCTTGCAGATATTAATATACAAGTATTATCTTACCATCTGATGCTGAATAAAAGTTACAGTTAAAAGCATCATTAAGTAATCCAAGACAAAAGAAATACAATATGAGGTAAACTGAGCCATTGTGAGTGGCTTGGAAAATAGTTCCGTTAACAGAGCTGTTAAGAGAGTTACAGAAACATTCGTTATTCACTTTGTAGGTTAACGTGTGCTTGGAATGCATGAGTACAAACATGAAGACTTTGAAACGAAGATTCATACGATGTTCTGCCCAGGCAACTATAACTCATCTCAAGAAGTTTATTGCAAAGAAAGTACTGAATGGTACTGAGAAATACAGAGATGTAAGTATTACAATTGATGCTGTAAGCATCATTTTATAGGACATTCATGGAGTGTAGCATATGTGAACCTTTTTCATTAACTTACCCCTTGAGAAATTTTTCTCACAGCCATGACTGTGAAGAAAACTGCCTTCTTGAATGTGATATCATACGGTCTGGTAGATAATTACCACCGTATCAGAGGAACTTGCGATGAGCTGATCACTTGTCCAAGGAGTCCTTACTTACTTACTTATGTATCTGAACCCTTCTTGAGGCGAAGCCAAATCTGCAGCTACTCAAGAATTTCCCAGCATTTTATGGAACCCGAAGGTTCATTACCGTGTTCACAAGAGCCCTCCACTGGTCCCTATCCTGAGTCAGATCAATCCAATCCATACCATCCCCTCCTGTCTCTCGAAGATCCATTTTAATATTGTCCACCTACCTGCGCATCCAAGGAGTCCTACGGACTGTAAAATGTTTATGAAACTGAAAAATCAGAGGCCTTGGGGTGGGGCTGTAGAGCCAGTGAAAAGAAAAGTGGAACATACCACATCCATCTTCAGGGTAGAATATTAACCTCCTGAGCAGCTGCTTATTCTTTGTTTGCAGTTATTCGTCCTATTTGACACAATATAATCTGACCAAATGAAAGCATTATTAATAAAATAAAATAAAAGTAATACACTTTGCCTTTTAAATTTTTTTGAATATTTGTGTACTTAACCATTTTATTTGTTCTGCAGATTGATATGCTGTGTAATGATGAACTGCTTGGTAAGGACCACACACTTAAGTTTGTTTATGTGACAAGATGGAGGTTTCGAGATCCACCACTGAGGTTACAATACAGACCACGGATAGACATTTAATTCCGTACTTCCCCTCTTCTGTGCTTGATCGAAACGAAACGATTTCCTGTACACGTGTGTTTGACTATAGGGTGTGCTTGTGCGTGAGTATGTATCTGGAAGGGAGAGTCTCGGTTTGACCCCTCTTATCTAATGCAGCACAATAATAAGCATTAAATATTTTATAAATCACAATGAACTATATTATTTAGTTTTTTTTAAAGTATGAACTTTTAATTTCATAACTGAAGGATTCTTGTAGGATTTGAGGATCTCACAATGGTGTGATACAACACTGTGTTGTAATCCATTGAAAGTCAACCAACATTTCTGAGGAACTTCATGCCTGCATCTTCAGGGTTCGAGAGTAAACAAAACAAGAAACTAGCAAATGAAATCCCCCCTGCTTCATGCTGGTTTCTTGCTTAGCTTTCTGTTCAGATCTGAAGATGATGGTGAAGTGCTTCTCTGAAATATCAATTGACTTTTTCTGAACTGCATGGTTGGTGGTGTATCCCAGAAGATTTTTTTTTAACAAAAAATATATCAGTCAGAATTTGTGTTTTCTCTAATGTTTGGAATGAAACATTTGGTATGATGGATGGTGCAGCCATGGTGTCAGATAATTCTGCAGTATTTTTACGTATTCTGTTTGATAGAAATAATGAGCAGACTGTGCGAAGGATATGCGTATGATGGTTATGGTCACGGACTATATACATATTCACAAATCACTACATTTGTGTATATTATTGTCCTGAAACTTCGTAGGTTATAAGTAATAATAAAAGAGTTAATGTAACTAATTTTGCTCGATGAAATCACTGTAAAAGCAGTGGAATCTTATATTGATTTCATTTCAGAAAATGTTTAAAATGTAGGACTTGAGGTTCTCACAGCATTACTTATGAAGGGTTCTGTCTTCTGGGATATCATGCTCTGTATTCCGTTGGATGTCAACCATCATTTCATATGAACATGTTTAATCCTTCAGTGTTGAAGAATAAGCGAAGTAAGAATGAGGCCTGATTCGTGCTGGATTTTGACTGGTTTCCTTTTCAAACTTGAAGATGGAAGCAACATATTCCCCTGAAACACCAGTGTACTATACAGCATTATATCCCAGAAGATGGAGCTCATCAATGTTCAAATGTTTGTTACAGATTGAAGTTGTAAAGTACATTTTCTTCTCCTTACAGCGCCATTTCAGTCACAACTGAAAACATGTTTCTTTTTATGCTGATTACATTTGTTGTGAAATATCTCTTGCCTAATTGAGAGACAGGTTGTGGTCTAGTTACTTGCTGTTTTCTGATGCCAGAAAGGATGTTGGATTTTACATTTGAAAAACTGAATTTGTTCAAGATACCTTTACAGATATCATCTAACATTTTAGCAGGAGCCGGGATAGCTCAGTCGGTATAGCTACTGGCTACAGACTGGACGACCGAGGAGTCAGGGTTCGAGTCCTGGTAATGTAAAGATTTTTCTCTTCACATCGTCCAGACCAGTTCTGGGGTCCACCCAGCCTCCTATCCAATAGGTAACACGGGATTTTTCCCCGGGGGTAAAGTGGCAGGGGTGTGAAGCTGACCACTCACCTCCAACTAGTGCCAAGGTCAAGAAAATGTGGATGTATACATCCATTCCCCCCCATACGCTTTCACAAGGACAACTTTTCCTTTTTACCTTTACACATGTTCATGTGAATTCAAACTGATAAGATTTTGCTGCTTGTAAGGATTCAATAAAATGTTTTCTATGAACTAAATTCATTAAGAGAGTGGATATTGTAAATAGCTGTGAACAGTTGAGGGCTGTGTTCCTCTGCTTACAGGGTGACCAACCGTTTTCTTGAGATTTGAGGTCCTCACAGCAGTGAGTATTAAGATTACAGTTTTCTGGGTTGCCATATCATGTAATTGTATAGACAGATACCTGTTCCATGAGAGCCATCATGTCTCCTGCATATGTCAACCTTGTCACCTCTTGTCTTTTTGGCAAATGGGTATTCTGGTGGGTACTGTTCAGACATCAAGGAAGTCTTTCAACTTCTCTCCATGGGGCCAGGGTATGAAGGTGTTGTCAACATAACTGAACCAGGAGAGCAACTTATGGGTTACCCTCTTGTGTGTTACCTCTGCAGAGTTGTACCTGTCTACCAAATTCAACAGTGTCTCATCACAGGAGACTGTAATCTTAACTTTTTTCTTCATTAAGTGGTTGGAAGTGCAGTGTTTAAGTCATTGGTTCCCATTTTACTTCAGGTTGCTTCATGTTTATGATCTTAACGAGGAGAGGAAGATTTGAATGTGAAAAATTGTATATCTTGTTAAAATCCTGAAAATTTCTAAGCAAGCCTTCAAACCATTATTAGTTTTTAGGTATACAGGAATGCAAAGTTATAAGACACTGGGTTAGGTCAGCATTATCTTACAGTAAAATGGCTGACATCAGCAGGAATGTGTTTCATGAAGACTGCAGGACACATCCCTTTAGGGATCAAAAAATTATGAAAGAACTACAAATTCTACAAATATCAGAGGATATGTAACAGTGCAAGAAAGAATTAAAGAATGTGTTGATGGGATTCTGAAAAACGCTTTCAAATATCAAGCAAATCAATCAACAGGATCCTGTTTTGTTAGGTTTCTAACAGGTGTCACTAGCATACTGCTGGTAAAGGTGATTAGCAGATTTATAACGTAAGGAAAGTTGAAGAATGCATGTGAACAGGGCTTAGCAGCTCTGGGATCGTAGTTCGGTCCTCTGCATTATAAACAGAAATGGCCTGATCATTTCAGTGTTACATTTGTTTTCAAAGAATGTAAGCACTAAAATGGAAGCATATCATATTTCTGACAGTACATAACATTGCAAATGATGTTTAGCAAAAGGGTTATTATTGTCGTGTGATTGAGTGACTATAGATGGGGTTTGGATATGTAATCGGATTTGTTGCACACTCATAGAACTTGTAACTACAAGTAAGGATTATGGCATCACTCTTCTGCATGTTTCATAAATCACTGGGTCTTCTAAGTCTGTTGCAGTCTTCACTGGCTGTTGCTTGGTAGCGGCTTCCAACAGTGGAAGTTCTCCTTCCTGTGGTTTCCTGTACTGTCTCCAGCCTCAACTACCCAGCTTCTCATGGTAACAGCTCACAACAACTGACCCCAGCTGTTACGTTACTAACTCCCTAACTCACTCACGCAGTCCTCACTCCTAACTTGTTCTGCCTATAACATCTCAACATGAACCACACAGAAAACACTGTTACTCTGTTGCTGTGCAGTTGTTGCATTCATGTCTGTTGAGGTACCCACGTGAGTGCTTCTCAGCCATTGCCTAGCAACAGCTGCTGTTTGCAGAGCCACTACTTAGCAACAGTTGTTGTATAGTTGCTTATTTTGCTGTCATTGCCTAGCAATGGATGTACGTGCCACACTATAATAGTCACAGTGAATGTGTATAATATTTGGAGTTGTGATGTTGAGAAATGTATGTCTGAAGTTATGCTTTACAGAAAATAATTATGGTTTAAAGAATTAATTGAGTGATCATTTTTGTGGGTTTGCTGACATGTGAGTTAATTTTGTGATGGAAGACACATTTGATATGAACATGAATGTATGTAGTTCAAAATTGAGGCTTTCACAGTGGTGAAAATTAAGACTGTGGTCTTGTGGGTTATGACACTGTAGTTTCATAGGTGGTTACCAATGTTACCAACTACCTTGATCTTTATCCGCTGTTTTGGACCACTAATCGCCCACATTTTGAACATCAGCTGGTGGGATGCAAAATTTTCCTTTTGTGCTGCCTGCTGACCACTAGTTGACAAGCCCTATTTCATGTCCTTTGTGGAAGAATGATGGTTCTTCTGCACAAAAATAAAACTTATATTCTAGACATATCTTAATTCTGATTCAAGTACTCCAAATGGAAAAGAATGGCTAGGAACTTGACAACAGAAATTCACAGATATATTTCTGTTTCTGATGTATGTTTTAATGTTAAGTAGTATTTAAAAGACATTATTTTTTGAATGATAGATTGTGTGAGATTTGAGGCTTCCATGGCAGCGACTATGAAGATGAGTGTCTTCGATAATGTAATGCCATGTGGTCTGGTAGGTCATTAACCAGTGTTTTGGAGGAGCCAGCTGCTTCTGTCTTCAGTGTAAAGAAAAAGGTAAAGCTATCCCTGTAACAGGCCATGGAGGCCCATAGGGTTGTGAGACATTGAGGCTCCCACATTGTCTAGACAGTCAGCTCACAGATGGTGATGTCAGCCTTACGCACCAGCCGTCTTTAACCCCCAGGAAGATCGCTAGTACTAATTTCTGGAAGAGGCTCAGTCAACCCTAGGGCCATAGTGCAGCCGGAAGGATTAGGTCAACTGAAATATTCCACCTCATTGGGACTTGAACCAGCTACCTTCTGGCTTGTAGCATAGTGCCTTGACCAACTACACTACCATGTGACCCCCCCCCCATCCCCCATCATCAGGGTAGATGAGTAAAATGAATGTTTAGAATAGTAGGGATATAAGGAAAAGAGAACTAGGACCAGAGCTCTGAGCGAACAAGGATTGTAGGAACAATGAAAAGAATATCCTTTTTGGTCCTTGGAAAGGTTTTCAGAGGTAAGTTTAACTTTTGGGGGGGGGGGGTTGATGGCTGCATGAAGCAGGAGGAGGTAGAACGAAGTCAGTATAAACAGAGTTAGGAAACAGAGGTGCTTTAAAGATCCTAAGTCTCTTACACTTTCTTTCACACACTCAGCCCACACTTATAGAAGTCAGGAGGTTTCTCTGAAATGTTAGCAGTCTACCAGACTAAATGACAACCCAGAAGAAGTGATCTTCATAACAGATTAAACTCCATTTCAGGTCTTCCTTCTTCTGATTATATTTGTACAGTTTTATTGCAAAAAGAAGTTTTATGTGGATATGAGTCATCTGCTTTCAGCTTATCTTTGAATTTTGTTTTAGGTTCATGTGAATTGTTGATATCAGTCTGTAACAAAATATGCATTTACTTCCATCTTTAATGTGACTCTGTTCACAGTCTCTTCTTAATTTAAAATAACATTTAAATCACAATCAGCTGCTACATATTTCGGCCTTACTTGGCCATCTTCAGGCAACCGTTCATTTTTTAAACTGCCGCACTGTACTAGTTCTTAAGTCAAAATATTTCAGCGCTATTTCATTTTCGTCATTCACACTAAAATACATTTGTTTGAGAACATAACTCTTTATCTTTTCCCATGCTGTTTACCCCTTGTGGTGTTCAATTCAAAGTCACATTGTGACTGACAGTCAGTCAGTAAGTCTTGGCGTTGATCCCCACCTGGGGATCATGACCAGATGTTTATTACTGTTTGAGAGTTACAGTCTTGTTTTTGTTGGGCGCCCCCTTTGATGAGAGGATGGGTCTGTCTTTTGTATATGCTGCTGGCCCTTGCCGGCGCAGTCTTTCTCAGGTCCGAGTCCCTTGGGACTTGTGACCATATTTTACTGTCTCAGATTTGAGAGTTCCCTTTTCGTTGCCATGTACAACTGGCAGGGTCACCGTGGAGGTATTCGACCCCGCCTCCACACAGGTTTGGAATATCTGTCAAGTCAAAGTCACGTTGCGACTGGCTGTCAGTCAGTCAGTCAGTCAGTCAGTCAGTAAGTACTTGTGGTGTTCATGTTTTTTATGTTATTTTGTTTAGCCTGTGGGAAGTGCCCACATTCAAGCTAAGTAAACAGCCGGTGCTAAGCAGTGAATTGTTCCTAGTTTGTGATTGGCTAGCACTTGATCCACTGTGGGTGGTTCCCACAGTCACATATTGTTGTAGCAATGACTGTTTACTCGCTGTTGCTAAGCAATGATACTTGAGTTATCACTGTAATGCTTTCTTGAATGTGGGCAGTTCCCAAAAGCCTGATGAACATCGGCGTGGTGGTGTTATTTTTATATGCCCCATTAGTATTTAAGTGTCCCGCTAGTTAAATGTATGTCACTAATGCAGTGTGGCAGTTTCAAAAAGTGAACAGTTGCCTGTGATGTCCAAGTAAGGCTGAAAATGTAGCAGTTGATTGTGATTTTAATGTCATTTTAAATTAAATAGAGATTGCGAACAGAGTTGCATTAAAGACAGAAGTAAATATATAGAGTGATAAATCAATGTAACAGGATGATGAAATATAATATTCTGTTTGCAAATTTGATAAGCATAGTAATTTTATTATTTAACTGTCAATTTTCCTTACAAACATAGACTTGTGAGGCAAGTTCTTCGTTGCATGCTTGTTTGGGAATACAAACAGCCTATTGCAACAGTTGTACTGGCCTGCTCGAAGGTACCATCCTTATGTCTCCAAAGTTGGTCACCCTGCACTGTAAGTTGCCATAAATCTTAACATGAAGAAGGATACAATCTGTGTATGTGATAAGGTTTTGGACAATGTGGAACTACATAGCCATCAAACACAGGTGTCCCCTAACTTGTGCAATAGTTCTGTTCCCAAGAATGGCTGTGTAACTTGAAATTTTGTTGTTACATTGCTGTCACTGCGTTTAATTTTCATTGGTCATATGTCATTTGTTACCTTTATTACCATCCATTATAGTCATTTATGAAACCTAATTTATTGTAGACATATAATTTTCATATTTTTTAGCCTCAACAAAAAGAAATTAAAGAAAATGCAAGTGAATGTAATTTGATGCAGAAATTGTCATTGAAGTTGCTTAAATCACAAGATGCCAGTACAGGTTATGGTTTGAAAGCAATACATTATAATGATTGTGTATTTATGGAGAAATTTGTGTCTCACTGTCCGTAACCACTTATTATCTTGAGATCAATTCTCTGTGCACTTGTTACTTCACAGCTCGCTCACTGCAGTTCCTTCTTCTCTAAACTTTTCTGCACTGAACTGAACTTAGCTGAGCTAAGCTGGGCTGAAAGTGATGGACTTACTGACTAACTGACTGACTGATTCAACTGCTTTATGCTGCACTGAACTGAACTAGGCTCTCGCAAGAACTTGACAACTACTGGCTAAAGTGTGTCAACCACAGGGAAATTTGTGGCATGACTGTGGGCAACATCAGCCTTCACAGGAGCTGAACAGTTTTCAGAATGTTCTAGAAGGTGGGGGAGGAGGTCTCAATATTTCAATTGAACAAGTATCATGCACATGCCAGGTGATGTGCTCCCACCACATCCCGTTCCCGTGACAATATTATGTTTTCCTTAATGTCTATAAACAAAGACTGCTGGTTGGCTAACATATTTTTATAACTCATAATTATACTTTGCTAGAAATACCAAGAGCATATTGAGACTGACATTGAGTTTGTAGTTAGTAATTCAATGATCTTTTTTTTTACGTTTATCTAAAAAAGAGCAGTTTGCCCTTCTGATCTTCAAACCCGAATTTTTGTTTTTGTGGAAACTGTGAATGTCGTTTATGAACAATATTTTATATAATTTTTCTTTATAGTTCTGAGCTGTATGTAAGAGAGATGGTTGAGCAATATTGGAAGTGTTTGGTACTGAAATATTTGATGTTTATTATTTAAATTATATCCATGTGGTTGTTGATGTTATTGTCAGTTTATGTACATTTTTTGCAACATTCACTGGAATCTTTTAAAAATAAATCTAATGTAAACAGCAAATGAGATACTTTCTGAGTTTCATCTAATAGGGTGTACCAACAGTTGGCCCTTTAAAGCTATGTGGTAAGTATATGTTTGCGTTTTTACCTACAGAGTATGTTTAGGTTGGAGTTGTATGATTCTTGGAATAAGCATGTTTTATTCACTGGATCTGAGGTTTTCACAGCAGCGGTTGTGAAGAGTACTGTCATCGGGGTTGCCAAGCAGTGTAGTTCAGAGAGAGTCTGATGTTTCAAAGAACATACTGCCCCCATCTTCAGGTTTGAACTGTAGGCTACATAAGATACCAGCAGAAGTATACCTTATAGGAACTTTATTTAAAGAATAAAGAAGAATGCCAAATAGCTTTCCTGCAGTAAAGTGTTTCTGAACTGTTGAAGCTTTCTTCATCAGAAGGTTTCATCATAGTTATGTAGCCAAGATGTAGTTTTACAAATATTCAGGTAAAGAAATGTTACCAAAATATATTTGTGTTGTATTTGTACTTGCTATATGATGCTTGGTTGGGTAAGACATTGTGAGGCACTAGTGGAACTGCACACATACGTTGCTTGGTAACCATTACATGGCTGTATCACAAGAAGTGATGCCAACTCCAAGTTTATTTTTTTAATATTGCAGCTGTTCATGTTTGCATTTATTTCTATCATTCCAGTCTGACAGGATACAGATAGATATCTGTTATCACATGAATTTCACAAGAGAATGTTGTGTTGGCTTGTGAGTGATTTTTCCTCCCAGTATTTGACACCCCTGGGATTGCAAAGCCCTAAGCTATAGGTTAATTAGCTTAGATGTAAACCCAAAAATAGCTTTAGTGCACAATCACTTTATCCAGTGACCATAAATGTGTGTTACTGGAACATTAGAATATATCCAGAACCAGCTGTATGACCGTAAGCCACATACTGGGCCGATTAGTCAGGGTTTGTTTCTTGATGGGGAGTGTGTCATTTTGATTACTTATACGTACTTAAATTATTTATGGAATATTGTGCACAGATTGTTGCAGAATGAATTGTGTGATGTGGCTCCAAGGAAAATCAATAAATCTGTTTCCTTACAGATCACTTACTAAGAATTATTGATGGTACAAGAGAAGAAAAGTACAAAAGGTCAATTAAGTTTTGTACTTGCCATGCTATTAACAGAAGGTCAGAAAGAGTTTCAGCAGAAATAAGGAAACGATGGCTGGAGAAGTTCTTTGTTCCAGACTTGTAGAGAAATTAGTAATTTTGTGTGTGACAAATATAAGAAAGTTTAAAATTATACAGAACCATAGCATGTAAGGTGGTGGATAAGATAACAGCATACACAATCAAGTAAAAGAGGGATGGATTATGTAGGTCAGTCAAAAAGTTCCCGGAATTCCCCTGCAGACAGAGAACGAGTGATAAGATAGTGCACACACTGTTGTGGTGGGAAGCTCAGCATGTCTGCTCGCAGGCGCAACAGGTCTAGATAGGTTTCAGTGTGCATTGTTGTTACTGTTCTGCATGAATTAGACATGATTGTTGGTCATTCGGCGCAATGTTGCAGTTCGAACAGTGTGCGAACATCGAGTTCATGTGCAAATTGGGAAAATCTGCTTCTGAGACGCTATTGGCCCTGCAGCAAGTTTACGGTGATACTGCACTAAAGAAATCCGCAGATAACTACTGGTTTTCCCAGTTTAAGAATGGGCAGGAGACGTTAGAGGATGACCAGTGCAGTGGGAGACCTTCGACATCCAGAACCGAAAAAATTATTGGAAAAGTGCGACATCTGATTCGATGTGATCGAAGAATGACCATCGCGGAGTTGGAGCAAGAAGTTGGTACTGTTACTGGCCATTTCTACGTGCAAGTTTTCCAGAGGTTGCGCGATGCAGTTTGGAGGAAGCGGTGGGAGAAGTGGAAGGGACAGCAGTTTCTGCATCATGATAATGCACCGAGCCACACATCGCTTGTTGTGCAGCAGTTCCTCGCCGNCAACAGGTCTAGATAGGTTTCAGTGTGCATTGTTGTTACTGTTCTGCATGAATTAGACATGATTGTTGGTCATTCGGCGCAATG